ATTCTCTGTTTGAGTATGTGGAGAACTGTTAAAAATGTTAACATTTCACATCGTGAATTCTATGGTTGTGAGGTGAATTCCCTATCACAATCTTATAAAATGTTCGACATCGAACCTGCACCTTCTCTATGTTTTAAGTTCTCTGATTCAATTTGCACCTTCTCTATGTTTTAAGTTCTCTGATTCAGATTACTTTGGCGGAGAGGTAAAACCGAATTTCCGTATTCAAAAATAATATAAAAATTACTTATATTTTTAAAAATTTTCACGATTAACAGTTCAAAAATATGCACTAATAACACAAGGTATTTCTCTATCTTCCATTAAATTTATTCACGTTTTTCACTCTGTATATTTAAATATATACTTTAAACATTAAAATAAGTTCACATTTCAATTTTATTTTGTAATATTTCACCTAAATTTATTAACTTCAAAATCACTTAGCGAACTCGGCGTTGCAAAGGTTAGATTGTTTACAATTATGAGGAAAACGTTGCCACATCTTAAACACCAAATATGTAGGATTCTTAACGACTTTTCTTTGTTTGTTTTTTTGCGTGATTCTTTTTTCTACATTAATTATAATAAAAATTACTTTCTAGCATTTTTTAAGTTATAATTGAGTTCTGAAAACTTTTTCCACATATTGTACATTTTACATATAGTATGTATATGTATAATATGTGATTTATATTTAATAAACACATATAATTAAAACTCTATGATAATATAGTATTATAAAATTTATATAATATCATGTCGGGATGACTGAAGTACTTTAAAAAAATAACCCTGGCCGAGCGAATACCTGGGTGGACTGAAGTACTTTCGCGAAGTACTCCTTTCTGCKTTGGCGGCCTTCGGCCGCGCTTTAACAAAATAACCCTGGCCGAGCGAATACCCGGGTGGACTGAAGTACTTTCTGCGTTAAAAATAAAAAAAATATATTGAGTTTTTGTTATAAAGTGGTTATATTTGTAGGTTACCATGCACTCATATTCAAATAAAATTTGAATTTTCGTACTGTACTAATATACTTTACCCTTTATTACGTAATATTATTATATAATATTACTTATACAAATGTATATACAATATTATTATATAATAATACTAATACATGTATATAATAGTACTTATTTGCTTAATAAATTTAAAAAAGAAAATATCCATATGCATGAATAGAGGAATTTCAGCGAATTGCCTTATCATCACATTTCGCTCCATTTCGTCGTAATTTTTGGTAAATGGGGTTAAAACGAGTGTAAAATGTAATTTTTAAAATGCATATTTTTTAGGTAAAAAAAATTGCTAAAGTGTAAGATATGGAGTTAATTACAAGTTTATAGTGTAATTTAATTAATTTGAAGTGAATAAAGTGTGTTTAATGTGGTGAAAAAGCGTCTTGAAATGTACGAATTTTGCGAATTTTTGAACTTTAAGGTCCAATATGTAGTAAACTAAGCGTTTGCGGTACCTATATATTTTTTAATCATTAGGGCTTCCTCTTTTCAATGGTACCTTCAGATCCTGGCGCCGAAGAAATCGGAATTGTGCCCGTTCACGTGTGTAACGATTCGACCCCTGGTCGCTACTATACTATGGTGTCCTCACTGTTACCACTGAAAACTTTTGCTGTTGTT